GAACAATAAATCGGTTCTATAATGAACCAACAAAACATAATAAATATATATGAACTAAATTATTAATCAATGTGGAAATTTATTAATCAACAAAACATATAATAATAAAACATAATAAAACATAATGTTTTAGGAGAACCGATAAACTAATGAACTAAGCAATATTTCCACAAATAAAAAGTATCATAATAAATATATGATAATATATATATTCTTATAAAAAGTATTTAATTTTCTAACTACCTTTTCTCATTAATTTTAAATTTTAAGAAAAAAATTAGCGAACACCCGTGTAATACACGGGCGTTGTACTAGTTTTATATTAATACCTAAATTAGTTATCATATTATTTCAACCTACATTCCCATTTTATGGGATTGATTATGAGAGAGAACTTAAAATATACTTATAATAATTCATAGAATTTCTTATTTCCTGCACCTATTTACGTTTTTTAATAAAGAGAAATAAAAACATGTATTATATAATTCACGCAGCTATCCAGTGTATATGTTACGTTTATGTTAGCATATATTCAATATATATTACAACGAAAAACATGTTTTACATCAAAAATTATATCTTCTTGTTTTTTTTTTTAAGTTTAATGTTCATTTTTTTTTCGAAACGATAGATGAATTATATATCAAAACGCACAAACAGTGCAAAAAGCAGCCCAAGGCTGAATAATACAACCAAGAACTAAAAACTGAGAGGATGGATCAGAAGACCGCCTAGAGCCTCGCTAGCCACACTAGAATAGAAAACAAACTACACACAACTAAAAAAAACCAACACGACAAACTACGATCGCTCTCCACAGGAGAATAGAAAACGCCCCCCACAGGGGAATCAGTACCGGGACCAACGGCCCAAACGTTGGTCCGTTCATTGAAAAATAACTTCTTGTTTTTTTTGTTAATTAAATGGAAATATTAAAATAGGAATCCTTTATATATGGAATGGAAATATATCCAAAACATAATCCCAGATTAGTATATATTGAGTTTATACGTGGTATATTAAGAAAAATATTTTATTAAAGACGAAACTAACAAATGAACAGTATTTTTTTATATTAGGAGATTATTGCACCATATACTAAATATATACTAAATATAAAACTCAATATATATTGTCCTTTCAAGACATGAAAATTTATACTGACTTTTAAACTCAACATAACAGTGTCCTTTGTTTTAGGAAGAATGTGAAATTTAAACTCAATATGATGTCCTTTGTTTTATACTAAATATAAACTCAACATATACTAATCTGAGATTATGTTACATATTCCTAAGACGTACATATACTGAACAAATACTGCATATACACTCTACATATATTAAAACATATAAAAAATGAAGGATTCCTAAGTGTTCGACAATTATCCTCTGAGAAGGATTCAATCATAGCCAAACACAACACCAGGTTATTTGTTAACAAAAAATTGAATACCAAAACAACACCAAGTTATTCGTCAAAACGGATTCAAGCACACGAAGTTCTTGTAAAAAATGGATATCCAAAACAACATAAACTAATAATCAACAGAAGAAAAAAAAAATCTCATTTTTCGTCTCATATCAAATTCTACTAAACATAAACTATACATAAACATAAAATAAACATTGGACTAATCCGATCGAAACTCTTCAAATATCGCTCGAGTTGTCGTACTCCATCTTAAACATTGAAATAATCCGATTGAAACTCTTCAAATTCACTTATGAAATACCTGAAAAAACAGCGCCATTTTAAATCTTCGGCGTCCGTTATTCTCTCCTTTTTTTTCCGGCGTCCGTTATTCTCTCCTTTTTTTCTTTTCCTTAGTAATATTTTGACGGTATGAGAAAATTAAGAAACCTTGTGCCATGGGTAATGGGTGGGCTTTAATATGAGGGAACTTGAATTCACTGTAATTTGGATTCATGCACTTGATTTCCTCTCTTGTCGGTGTACCTAATAACACGAAAATAAATGCAGAAACGATTTACAAATGCACATAAAAACAATTACATCTATCATATATTGTTTTTTACTTTTTTTACTAATAACTAATATAATATAATACCATCATTGTTGAATAGTCGCTGCTGTCTGTAAAGAATGTCATCCGACAAAGATTGCCATCTTGCCCATACCTCCTCCGGTCTACCGAAGGAACCAGAAACCAACAATGATGCGAACATGATGTCTCAGAGAGTCTGCAGATGCCCACTGACTTGCTTCAGTGATGTCGTCTATGTACTCTCTATCATCCTCCAACAAACCCCTTTCGTAGCAAGCATCTCAATATGTAACATACTAAGCATCTCCAACCTTCATGAAGTCCTCATGACATGTTGCACCGCGAACAACATTGATCAAACACCTCAAATAGTAATCATCTCCACAACCAGGAGGTACATACCGCAGACGACCCTTAGATGGTAGGTCTTTATTTTTTCTAGGAGTCCACTCCTGAGTTGTTTTATTCCAAACGAACTTCGACCGAGCCTCAACATAAGTTAGTTTGCCTTATTTTCGGATATTTTTTGTTCGCCTCAAACCACGCAAGAAATTGGCTCTCCCCCCCCCCCNNNNCCCCCATAGGGTTTACTAAGAACATATTCAAGATTATCATCATCATCAAAGAAAACTTGATGTTGTCCTTTCAAATGGAAATTTAACCACTGGACAAGAGGTTTTTGTATTGCAACTCGTAACCCAACAAACGCCATGCAACCTCACACGAAGAAATGTACCTGCAATCATAGTACATGTTTATCTCATCCAAAGGGTTTTCAGGTTCCACTTCAGCTGATGTTTGATAGAAATATGCCGTCACACGATCATGGCGTTTGTTGACATATTTGAAGAGGTACTTTATTGATCGTGATTGATTGCACCACTTCACGTTGATGTGAGCTCCGAATTTCATCAAAAGACCACGGTTATGAGGCACGACATATCCATTTTGGACAACAACACCATTTTTGTCAATAGACCTCCCATCAT